GGCATCTGTGGTAGGTCAGTAGGCCACGGCTACCTTCGCTCGCCAGTTGTCCGCTTCGCTGCCGAGCCGTTTCGCCGCGAAGTACAAGTGTTTCATAAGCTTTCCGACGGCCATGGCCATTGGTCCACCAATGGCGGTCATCGGTCCACTCATGCAGGCGACAAGACTATTCGTCGGGGCAGGCCACGACTGACTAATGGCCGGAGGCGGGAGATCCGGGTTTTGCCCGTTGATAGTGTAACCCAATCGTAGTATGGGATGCGGTGGAGGTTTATCCGATTCGTGCGATGCGTCAGCTGAGCTGCGTGTGTCAGCGACTCAAGTCATCCAACTCCTTCACGCACCATATCATTTCATTTCGCGGTACGGCTAGTGGTCCCGGAAGCCTCACTGTCGTTAAATGTGTTAGCCGCAGGTGATTTACCGCAGAACGCTTTCATTACAAATATCAGCACCAGCACTGGGGCGCAGACCGCATACGTTAGTGCATTGAGGTCGTTGTGATATTACAAAAGTTGGTTGTTATATAAGTGTCCTGAGTAAGACTTTGCAGAAACTTCACCGTTGACTACCATTGGTTGCCATGCCCACCGAATGGTGCTACCACCCACCTGGGTTTATCATTGCCGTTGCGCCAGCGGACCACGTACTTTCCGGTGGACCACCGACCTTCCCAGTGGCGGACCGCGGACTGTCCACGGGTGGAGCACCGCCTGAACCCGGCTGTCCGGGTGGGCGGGGAGGGGCCTTGACAGTCGGTACACGCATTGACCTTGGCTGTCCGGTGCGCGTGTCGGCAGGGAGGCGGCGTGTCGCACGGTCCTCGCGGCCCCAAGTCCTTCTTCTACATGCTGCCGTACAGCGCGCGTCGGTGGCTTGTGCGCCACGCTCAGCGTCAAGTTAGCCCAGAGTGACCTGCACGTGGTGTCCGACCTGGGGCTGCCGTCGGCCGAGGCCGGCTTCCTGCAGCAGCTGGCCGAGCGGCGACTCTGGGGGCCCAGCGTCCTCTTCGTGGACGAGTGAGTGGACGCGCAGCGTCCCCTTTGTGGACGAGTGAGTGGGCGCGCATACGTCGTTGCAGACCTCGCAGGGGGGCTGGTGGACGCTGATGACGCCCAGCTTCACTTTGGAAATGATGCGTGACGTGTGCAGACAAGCTGGCCCACCGCATTCCGTGTGTGTTCGCGCTGACGTCGATGCTGTAAACCAAGCCACGCCACCAGCCGCCTGACTTCGCGAGGCCGCTCTGCGTGCTCCGTCGCTGTGCCGACTGCTGACCTTGCCCCGTATCTCAGCACGGACGAGATGCCGGAGAACATCGCGCGGGCCGCCGACGGCATCCCGCACTTCAACCTGCTGCCCGTCTACGGTCAGTGGCCTCTGCCGAGCGAGTGGGACGCGTCGGCTGGCGCTCGGTACCTGCGCGCGGGCTGGAGGCCACCGACGGATGTTGGTGGCCTGGTAACTGTCCGGCGTGCGCTCCGTAGCTTAGGAATTTCTTATCCGCGCCGGCTCGGAGCTTCGGTCCCGGGCCACTTCTTTTGGGCAATCATTTCCCTATTTTGAACTTGTACGCGCGGACATGGCTGTCGCCAAGGCGGGCCGCGCGACAGGCTACTGTGGTGCCCAGGTGCGTCCGTCCCGCGAGGCAGTATTGTACTCACCGCTCCAAACCGTTTCACATCACCTATCTCGAGGCATGACAGTGGGGGAGAGCTGTATGACCGCAGCAGTATTGTACTCACCGCTCCAAACCGTTTCACATCACCTATCTCGAGGCATGACAGTGGGGGAGAGCTGTATGACCGCAGCAGTATTGTACTCACCGCTCCAAACCGTTTCACATCACCTATCTCGAGGCATGACAGTGGGGGAGAGCTGTATGACCGCAGCAGTATTGTACTCACCGCTCCAAACCGTTTCACATCACCTATCTCGAGGCATGACAGTGGGGGAGAGCTGTAAGACCGCAGCAGTATTGTACTCACCGCTCCTAACCGTTTCACATCACCTATCTCGAGGCATGGCAGTGGGGAAGAGCTGTATGACCGCAGCAGTATTGTACTCACCGCTCCTAACCGTTTCACATCACCTATCTCGAGGCATGACAGTGGGGGAGAGCTGTATGACCGCAGCAGTATTGTACTCACCGCTCCAAACCGTTTCACACCACCTATCTCGAGGCATGACAGTGGGGGAGGGCTGTATGACCGCAGAAGTATTGTACTCACCGCTCCAAACCGTTTCACATCACCGATCTCGAAGTATGACAGTGGGGGAGAGGTGTACGACCGCAGCAGTATTGTACTCACCGCTTCAAACCGTTCCACCTCACCGATCTCGAGGCGTGACAGTGGGGGAGAGCTGTATGACTGCGCCGTCGAAGCGCCGCGAAGCCCCAACAATCATTCAGTGAGGGAGATGTACGTTTCAGCACTCAATCCGCTTGTCCCCCCCCCCCCTCCCCCTCCTATCCCTATCCCGTGTTGTTAGCCGTGCCACGTGTCTCTCGCTGGCGGAAGCCCGTCCTCGGCGACCCATGGCGTCAGATGATGGATTAGCGGCCGTTTCGTCAGCAGCCGGCGCGTCTGAGCTCGTCAGCGGCGAGTGGCGGTTGTGCCGCGCGCCCGGCGCTCGAGCTGTTGAGCGGCTGGATTAAGGGCTTGGGGCACGTGTTGGTCCGGGCCGGCCCCCGGGCGCCGTGTGTCCGGCCGTTCAGGTGGAGGCCGGCGGCTTAGTGATGACGAGGCGGCCGGAGTGGGATCTGCGGAGCCGCCACTGGCGATGGCGCCCGTCGGCTATCGGGTTTAAAGGAGAGGCGGCCGGAGTGGGGTCCGCGAAGCCGCCGCTGGCGATGGCGCCCGTCGACTATTGGGCTTAGCGGAGAGGCGGTCCGACCCAGAGCAATCAACAGTGCTAGATTGCGTGGACAGAAATGCCTCTTAGAGGCACACCGAGTTTGATGCGGTGTTCTCTGTGGGGTGTTCATAGCAAGTGTCATCCGTGACCCCTTCGGATCGTTTGTTTGCTGTTGAACTATTATGTATATTGCTCTTGCAAGCCAATGCTCATTAGAAGTATTCTAGCTACCCATCTTTGGACGGAACTTCAACCATGAGAAATGGAAGTATCCAGTTTGCTCTCCAAGTGTGGAAATTTGTCTACGGAACAATGACAACGGATTAACGGAGGCGTTTGGGGGGGGGGGGATAACCACGAGTTTTCCTGTTTCCTGATGTCTTCATGCAACGCCGGAGGATTACTGCTGTTTTTTTTCCAGAGATGTATAGTAGTCTTTCACGCTGCATGTGTCGCCCACCCCGTCCCCTCTCCCACATCCCCAATCTGTGGTCAGCCCTTTTCAAACCGGGAACAGGCCTTGCTTGATGTCATTTGTCATGACGTCACCAACAATGTCGTGAAAAATGACGTCGTCATCGTCACTTTTTGACGGTGGGTCCCGTCACGCGGTGGCGTGGGGTTGTTTCAGTGGCTGACGTGGGAGGACACTGCTCCGACTTCTCTAGTTGATACCGACGGTGTTCGCAAACCCACGAAACACACCACCAGCCGGTGGTCACATCGGCATGGGCTCTGTTCTGTGCCGCTAACCTTTGCACTTATACCGCCTTGCTAGCCCGGTTGGGATATGGAGAGTGCTGCTGGCAGGTCCTGACCAGGCATGCCCTGAGGCGGGGGTACTGTCGCGCCCGAACCTTCCTGCTGTGTGGGCTGATGTAGTGTACTCTTTTTGTCCTTGAAGATATTGAGTTCTGTGGTTGATTAGAACAGAGCCTGTCTAAATTTGTCAGCCATACCTGTTAAAAGTGGGCAGCTCATGAATGAACATTCTCTCTGTGGACCGGTGTGCAATATTTCGACGTGGCCTGGACCCACGATCTGGTGGCAGCTGTGTTGTGGTAACCTAGGCCTGGTCCTAAAGTGCTGGCAGGGCTCTGCATCGAACGTATGCCCTAGGATATACGTGTACGGAAACAAGGTTTATGCGCCCTCTGATTTTGACAGAATTTCCTTCAAAAGTCGGGATAGGTTTGATTGCTTTATTTTTCGCATTCTGTGCGACCGAGCAAAGAATTCAAGTGTTTTCTCCCCCGCATACACAAAAAAGCACCAGACAGGAAGTCTGGCGGTGACAATAGTAAGCGATTTGGTAGATGGAGACATGGTTGTTGAGCGCCAATCACAGGGCGCGAACGGTTGTCGGTTTTCACCAACTGATATGGCTTTTTATCTTATGTGTTGTATCACCTAGTGTGTTTGCGCACACACACATTACTTGGATTGGTCGAATATCATAACTACGAGACTCTATGTAAGCGGTTTCTCGCCTTTTCCCTCGGCAGGTCTGAACGTCTACAGCATGCTGAAGCACGACACGTTGGTGCTGACGGTGGCCGGGTTGGAGAGAGTGCAAGAGCGTCTCCTCCGCGCTCTCTCTCTGCCGGACAACCGGGCCGTCAAGCACACGGACGTTGGCATCCTCCGATGAGACGCCAGCGACGCTCCCCACTCAGTGGCGGAACCTGCAGCGAGGTGACCGGGTGTGCGCACCGGTGCCAGCGGCGGAGCTGGTCCTGGGTCCGGCAGAGGCCTGGGTGCCAGCGGCGGAGCTGGTCCCTGGGTCCGGCAGAGGCCTGGTGCCATTGGCGAAGCTGGTCCTGGGTCCGGCAGAGGCCTGGTGCCAGCGGCGGAGCTGGTCCTGGGTTCGGCAGGGGCCTGGTGCCGGCGGCAGAGCTGGTCTTGGGTTTGTGCCGAGGCATCATGGGCTGGTAATGAGTGTCTTCGGTATGCGCGTGACGTTAGCGCTTTTAGCGATGTGCCCATATGTTTTGTTAGACTTGTGCGGGTCGTGTACAATGATTTTGTAAGTCCTGTGATTGACAGTGCGTCGCTCAACTGATGTGCGCCATCGCGAAGTAGTGCTTCGCGTTTCTGTATTAAATATCCTTCCGTTGTCGAAAGCTAAGCGGTTCACCATCACACTGAAAACTTGGAGACGCCCCTGGCGACATCGCGTATGCTGGGTCGGTATGCATGTGTGTGTGGATGTGATGTGCTCAAATACAGCTCTGTTCTGTATGTGATGTTTGTAGCGTGATGATTGCCTACTCCATGGGATGGTTCTCACCAGAGTCAAACATCACGGTGGTGTTGAGCTCCGTTGCTATTCTGGCCTGCTTTGCCAAAACGGATCGTTGCTTTTTTAAGGCGCTCGTGTTTTGCCGGTTCTTTCAACTTCATTGCCTCGTCACTTTTGTTTCGTCTCCGCCCAAGAGCTGTTGACCAGGTACATGTTGCCAGCTAGCAGTAGGATAAATCATCTCGTTTGCGTCGACGGGAAGGAGCGGAATCCGATCTGTATGAAGGGGAGACGGATCCGGATTGCCTGGAGATAATGCGATCATACCAGCGTGCATGGCCGTGTGTAGGGGACTGGTAGTAACGACAGGTTTTACAGTATATTCAATTTATACTGCACGCTTCAATTTATGAAAACTTGCAAGTCGCATTTCCTGAGCCCATTGGTACACCTTTCGTTTTCATCGGCTAGGTATTCTAGGAGCATGAGATCTTCAGCATTTTCACAATCCTGCGTTGAACAGGGATCAATCACCTCGCGGCCTGGCTCAACCAGGTTTAATTTATAATTTTAGATACTGGAATTGGATGGCCCTACAGAAATATTTCATGTTTCCGGAACTAATGGTGTCACATTCAGCTGAGTACGTGCGGAGCATGAGATTACTAGCAGCTCGTGCCGGCAAAGCAGGTCCAGCCGCCATGAGCGGGCCTTGCTAGGTGATAGCATTTTTGGTGTATGGTGCGAGCTGGGACGCACCAGTGATGAAACTTTCCTTTCCTTTCCCTAGTCGGGAAGCCGCAGGGTACGACTCCGCAGGCTTTGGCGCGTCACGATAGTCGTCTCTCAGGGATGGTGTCGCCAGGTGATCCGCTCGAGCGCTGGGTTAAATATCACGCAATGTTTCCGGCTGTCTACGCGTAAGCTGATTCTGCAGATCGTAATTCGATCCCGCAAATCGCGTTTTGATTCCGTTGGAACGTGACTTCTCAGCATGCTGCAACTCTCGAGATCAGCACGTGGTGAGTCTGGCTCCCTGTGTGGCCCGCTTTTCTTGGTTCTCAAGAAACTGTGAAGTCAAAAATTCACGTGTTCTGAAATTTTCCCCCGCCCCCACGACGGGAACATTTTGCATTCGACGGCGTTCGTCCACTGGAGCTGCGGAACACGCTCTGCCTCATGCCCTGGCCGCCCCACTACTTAGTTTCACGCGTTGCCCCATCTGGAGACGATCTCTACTCCTGCCGTCCAGAAACTTCTATCTGGCTATAGCGGCTTCCGCCAAAGGAAAGTGGCAGCGCTCTCGAGATGACGAGGATAATCGCAAACTGAAGGCAATCAAGCCACAGTCGGGTCTATGCCCGTGCAGCTCGCGTCCGGCCAGGCGCCAAAGGTTGTTCTATGCTGCCTGCGAGACAGTCGCACTCATACCACACATAGCTACCTATCGTGCCGCGAGGACAGACCTCGACGCCCCAGATGCAGTGCGCCAATGACTGCTCGTCACGTACTTCACTCGTCAAGTCACTGAAATCCACTTGATGGAATGATAGCTTTTGGTGTGCTGCGAACATAATACGTCGGTACGTAAAAATGAATGAACCGTTGAGAAATGGCAGGCCGAGCCTGGTCCAAATAAGCAGTGCCCACCTGTCATTCTCCCGGATACTCAGCCTTAAGCGGGCTGGATCCATTAAACTGGAGAAAAAGAAGGTGTTCCATGGGAAATGTGCATACGCGCAGAGTGAGCGACACATACCCAGCTGCCCAGGGCTGCACATAAGACGGCGGCTCCGCGTATTAAAGTTTAACAAACATAAGAACTTTACAGTGTTTCACAATGCAACGTGGCTCTCCTTGACGATATCATGGGACCACCCTTGTGTAGAGCCAAAGCTGTGGTTTCCTATCCAATTGGGGGCAGACCCCCCCCCCCCCCCAACTTAAGCTCTATCTCCGCCGACTTTGGAAGGAAAGTTAGCCGAATTTGTGGAAAACATTCGTTGTTGGCGCAATTATAGGGGCACGTTTTATAATTTTTACCCCCCCCCAAATTCATTTTGCGAAAATGTGCACCTGTCTCTACGTTATGGCTTTGGAGTAACCATGCATGGACTTGAAGGCCCGTCAAGAGCCAGTGAGGGGACCCCGGGACCCCAGTTCCAAATCCTCCGCCCAGTTTCGACCAGCGGCTCGCTGAACCGCACTGGGGTTCCAGTGCCAATGAGGGGACCCACTGCGCCGGTAAAGCATCCTCCAGTGTCAGATGAGAGTCTCTGCATTGATTTGAGACCCACTGCTCCGGTCATAGGATGTCCTCTATCAGGGAAGAGACCGATGTATGAGATTCTCTCGGAGGGCCTTCTGGCCGGCTGCGGAGCCCGGTCCCTTTGTCGTCAGAATGCCAGTCGGTGGGTACCCGGGCTGGTGCGGAAAGACATACCTCCCGGTGACCGGAAAGGGCGACAGGCTGGGTGGTGTTGCACCCACGCAACCCCATGGCCGAGGGAATATAACGGGTCTCCTCACTATCCAATCCACGAGCTCCCAGCGCACTCCCTAGTGGACACAACTGGGTCAAAAACCAAAACTGAATTGGACCACTTCAAGTCAAGAGGACCAAACCTGGTGGTTTGGTTTTTAATAAGTCGTGCTGGGACTTTTCACCGGGGCCCCTACCACAGCCGGTCTCTATCTCTCACACAAAAATTCTGGCTGCACCACGCTGGTCAGTGCCCTCTGAGATCAGTGTCTGAGATCAGCGTCGCCCACTCATCAGGGTTTAAGAGCACCACTCTGCTTTCAAAAACAGATTTCTGACCGCCTCCGGGACCAAATGACGACAGGCGGTGTTCAGCCCGCGTGCCGACCCGCCGGCTCAGCTCTGGTCACTGACCTGCCCCGCTCGTGGCCGGCGGCACGTGCCCATGACGCCTCGTCGACCCCTACACACGTGGCTGCCGTTCACTGTCGGCCCTAGCGTTCGCCCTATTTGCCGTCGTCGGGACCTGCCGGTGCTTGCTAGCTTCAGGCTCTCACTCGCCTGGACAGGGACGAAGACAGAGTCCGACGCGTCGACGCCCTATGAAGACATCTTGCGGCCCATCGAGCAGTACTAAGCCAGCGGATGCCGCTGGCTCGTTGCCATTTGCCAGTTGCAAACCGCTGGGGGGGGAGGCATCTGTGCCGTGCACTCTGTTCCATAGCTGCCGGTTCTGCCTCGTCCTCCACTGCCGGGTTTCTATCCTGCTGTCACTCGCCTACGGTATAATGGCCGATGACTCCATCGTGCAATTTTATTCATTCTCCCCAGCGGTGGTGTCTGGTTGCTAAGTCCATTCACCACTTCTGCCTCGCCGCATAAGACGTGTCGGTGCTGATATCTTCGCATCTATGTGACTGTCCAGCCCCAGCAGTTGGTATTACTGTGACCATCGTTGATTACGCTACGCTCAACATTGAAAAGAAGTCTACTTAAAGAGTCCGCTCAAGAATCCACTTCAAAGTTCATTCTTACGCCGCCCTTCTGAACGTTTATCCGCATTGTAAAAGGCTCTGCTGCGTGACCTTAAAAGCCTCTGCTGCGTGAAAGGCCCTGCTGTGAGTGTGTGGCCCTGCCCGGCCCACCAGCGGGGGCCGTGCGGCCCTGCGTGGCCCACCAGCGGTGAGCGTGCGGTCCTGTCCGGCCCACCAGCGGGGGCCGTGCGGCCCTGCGTGGCCCACCAGCGGTGAGTGTGCGGTCCTGCCCGGCCCACCAGCGGGGACCGTGCGGCCCTGCGCGGCCCACCAGCGGTGAGTGTGCGGTCCTGCCCGGCCCACCAGCGGGGACCGTGCGACCCTGCGTGGCCCACCAGCGGTGAGTGTGCGGTCCTACCCGGCTCACCAGCGGGGGCCGTGCGGCCCTGCGCGGCCCACCTGGTGGCGCCAGGCCGTCTACTTCGTCAGCGGCGATCGCAGAGGCGGCACCAGGCCGTCTGAGGAGGGGCGGCAGCAGCCGTCGCCGGCCCTCTCCGCAGTCCGTCGTCTGCGCCGTCACGCTGCACACGATTTTCCGATCAGCAGCTGCATGCGGCATCCGCCTCTCATTGTCAATACTGACCTTACGCTAGACCTGTTTCCTGACCCTGGTTCGGATTCGGACTTGTACTCGTTTCCAGACCCTGATGCGGACTCCCACTTGTACTCTTGTTAGGAATCCAATTGTTCTCGTGTCCGGATTCCGGCTTGTACTCGTGCCCGGACCCTGATGCGGCCTCCGGCTTGTACTCGTGCCCGGACCCTCACGCGACCTCCGGCTTGTACTCGTACCCGGACCCTGACGCGGCCTCCGGCTTGTACTCGTGTCCGGACCCTGACGCGGCCTCCGGCTTGTACTCGTACCCGGACCCTGACGCGGCCTCCGGCTTGTACTCGTGTCCGGACCCTGACGCGGCTTCCGGCTTGTACTCGTACCCGGACCCTGACGCGGCCTCTGGCTTGTACTCGTGTCCGGACCCTGACGCGGCCTCCCACTTCTCCGCCTGTTCGGACTCCAATTTGTACTCGTGTCCGGACTCCGACTCGCACCCGAGGCTGGACCGGACCCTGTGGCTTCCTTGACTGAGAGCTGATCCCTCCGTCGGGCCGACCTGAAGCCGCCTCTGGCCGCGGCCTCGCCGGCACGGCCTCGATTTATTCGCCGCCGCACCCCTGGAGGTCACGCGGGGTCGCAGCCTCGACAGCGAACGGTGGGGTGGGGCTGGGCGTTCCACTCTCTCCGCGCGGACTGGGGAGCTGAGCCAGCGGCGTTCGGTAGTCCTGATAAGCTCCACCCATGGAAGATTCTCGGGGTATCATGCAGAGTTGTACTAATATATATATCGAGTTTTGGCGTGTTATACAGTGGCGGCAGAGCCCCTCGGGGAACAGGGAAGAAACAAAAGCGATTTACGTCGTCTCGTTTTATACACCGCTGTAGCGTTAATGTTAGGTATTGTCTGGAATTGGGAAGCGCCCCTTCCCCCCTATCCATCCCCGGCAGTGTTGCACGGTGGCAAAGCCTGTTCGTGATCGTTTGCTATTCCAAGCGGCTCAGTGTTGGGATATACTTCGTTTTTTTTCACAAACAGGTCGCATGTCTAGAAATGACAAACTGAGCACGATATGCCAACTGATGCGGGTTCCGGACCCACTCCGGCACGATATGCCAACTGAGGTGGGCTGCGGACCCACTCCGGCACGATATGCCAACTGAGGCGGGCTGCGGACCCACTCCGGCACGATATGCCAACTGAGGAGGGCTGCGGACCCACTCCGGTACGATATGCCAACTGAGGCGGGCTGCCGACCCACTCCGGCACGATATGCCAACTGAGGCGGGCTGCGGACCCACCACGGCACGATGTGCCAACTGAGGCGGGCTGCGGACCCGCTCCGGCACGATATGCCAACTGAGAGGGGCTGCGGACCCACTCCGGCACGACATGCCAACTGAGGCGGGCTGCCGACCCACTCCGGCACGATATGCCAACTGAGGCGGGCTGCCGACCCACTCCGGCACGATATGCCAACTGAGGCGGGCTGCGGACCCACCACGGCACGACGTGCTAACTGAGGTGGGCTGCGGGCCGCTCCGGCACGATGTGCCAACTGAGGCGGGCTGCGGACCCACTCCGGCACGATGTGCCAACTGAGGCGGGCTTCGGACCCACTCCGGCGCTGATTTTTAATCAAGTACGCATATGTGTTCTCAGTTCACTCCCGCCGTATAGACCCTGGGTCAGCAGCATGAGGTACGCGACTGATGAGCATGATCAACTAAGAATGAAGCTGTTTTACGTGCCATCGTTTTCGTTGTCCGTACCCTGCCCTGCAGACCCTGCAGACATCGGCTCCACCTCACGCCGTTTTCCAGATCTGAGCATCACATGTTAGGGATCGTCATGCTGTTATAACAAATTAGAAGCCCGGAACCTAGCGATTGGTCGAGGCGAACGATTGCAGATCTTACCATTCACGTTTCCGCCAGCGAGTTTTGTTCCGAGTTTTGTTTCTGAAGAAGTCTCGGTGAAAAATATCACATGGCTGGCATTGACTCTAGACTATGTGGCATATAAATGAGGGTAAGTACCTTTACAGCCCTTCTCTTCGCAAAAAGTCGCTGCCAAATACTGGTACGCACTCATCCTTGCTTTGTTTGTCTTTATGTGCGGCCGCTTTTCTTGCCGTTATTTATTCTTCAACTTCTCGCCAGAGGTCACATACAAAACGTTCAAATTTTACATTTGCAGCACACCACCTCATCGCTCGCAGCAAACGCATTGCAATGCATTACCAAGGCCGTGCGGTCACACAGCGCGTCACGGCTATGCATCGACCGTCGTGGCGGTAAGCCGCCGCCTCAGATGTGCGGGGACACTTGTCGTTGGCGGGCTTCATCGACACTGCCGGGTAAATACAAACACTGTCGGCAAACGGCAAGACCTGCCCGCGAAGAGTTCCGATGCTAAGCTATTTGAAACATCCCAGTGGCTGGAGATGACGTCATATTCACGGGTGACGTCAGACCAGAGGCCATGCGACGCCTCACGCCGCGTCACACAAATAAGACGGCGGTCGCCGCCAAATATCGTCTCGCCAATGGCACGTCACAGCTGGCACATGGGGAATGCGTTCGGCTCGCAGCAGAGGGCTCCTTCGTTGACGGTTGGTCGATCCCGTCCCGACCGGGGGGTCCGCGCCCTGTCCAAACACCGCTGTCGGCCGGCGGCGCCGTCCAAACGCCGCTGTCGGTCGGCGGCGCCGTCCAAACGCCGCTGTCGGCCGGCGGCGCCGTGCGAGCCGCCGCTGCCGGCCGGCGGCGCCGTGCGAGCCGCCGCTGTCGGCCGGCGGCGCCGTGCGAGCCGCCGTTGTCGGCTGACGGCGCCGTGCGAGCTGCTGTTGTCGGCCGGCGGCGCCGTACGAGCCGCCGCTGTCGGCCGGCGGCGCCGTGCGAGCTGCTGCTGTCGGTCGTACGTCAATCCTCGCAGCTCGCTCCGGTCGGCGTCCAGTCCTGGCGTGCTGACGGCAATGCGCATGACTGCCGCGCGGCGCGGCGGCCCCCTCCCGACTCGCACGTCCTCAGGCTGCCTGCCGTTCGGCGCGCCGCCGCTCCCTGCTGTGACCGTCCTCCGCGCTCCGCCCTCCAGCCCCTCCGCTGACGGCGCGACGCCGCTCCTCACCGCGGACCACCCGCCTGCCGGCATCGCAGTGAGGACGTTGGTGCGTCGGCGGACCCGTGCACTGCCAGCCCAGGCCGGCCCATGCCGCCGGCCGACGCCGAAGTGAGCAGCTCCGGCGCTCTCCCGCCGGCGCTGAGGGCGGTGCATGGCGAGAGTCCGGGGGAGATCGCCGCACCGTCACCCCCCGAGTCGACCCCTGTCCTGGCCTTGGCGTTCGGCGAGCCCGTGCACCCACCGCTTCCTCATCTTCAGTGGCAGCCGCAGCTGCTGGCCACCATCTTCCTATACTTCTTCAGGATAACGTTGAGGTTGTCGTTGAAGTAGAGCACGCTGATGCTGTTGAGCTTGGTGGGCGCGCACGACGGCTTGGGGTAGGTGTAAGGCTCCAGCAAGTGCGTCAACGTCTGCACGATGGCGTGGTTGGTGGCGTTCATCTGCGAGTTGAGCGGAAACGCGCACAGTCCGGTGCAGAAGAACGCTGCGTACCTGTCGGCACGCCACGGGCGCTGGCGTCGGCCGAGGGCAGCAGTGTCCAGGCACTGGCGCATATCACACGTTCAAGGGAGCACTGCCTCGCATAGGTCGTGCAAAGATGATTGGTTAAGGCGTGTACCACGTGCTGACGGGAGCACTTGCAAACATTATTGCTTACATGCGTATATTATGTGCTGGTATATGATCAATATAATATTGCAGATATTAAATACATTATGATATTGACCATAAATAATGAATTATCTAGCATTTTTACTTGATAGTCGGAAATCCATGTCATCGCATTACGTGGCTATTACCGGCTGGCGGCGCGTCCGATTCACATGCTGTGGTCGCCGGGTCCCAACGGCACACGGACGCGGCGTGTCAGGACGCCATAGGGCCCTTCTTTACCGATCGTATCCTGGCACCAAGCACAAGCAGCTCGGAGCCAGAGCCCCTGCCCACATGGCATTGGGGACTGGCAAATCAGCGTGCGCACCAGGCGCCTTGTGCCGAGCATGGCCCGAGTCGTGCTGGCTGAGTTGTTGACCTAAGGTGGGCCGACGGCGACGTACCCGTCTGGCGCGATGATCCAGTCTTGCCAGCCCAGGTCGCGGAAGCTGACGTAGAGGTTCTGCTTCTGGCAGACGCGGTACTCGCGCCTCTCGGTCAGCTCCTTCAGCGGGCTGTACGGCTCCGAGGAGCGGTTCCGTTTGCGTCCTTGCGTCTGGAACCGGAACGGCCGGCCGTGATGGGTCACACGAGGATCAATCCAGCACCCACGTACGCTTACTGCTCAGACAGACGCGTGGGCGGCCTCTAAAACTTTGACATTCTCGGGGAGGGCACATTAAATGGATCCTTGGGTACTCCACCTTAATTGTCCTATGACCCCCAAATGCGACTGCAATCCATCTCTGATGATGATAATGATGATTTGGGCATTACGGCGCGCCGACCACCCAGGCCACATGGCAGTCCATCCCTGCATGATCCCATCACGCCAACCGGCTAACACAGTCGTTCGTATCCGTCCCGTGCTACTGCGCTGCATTGCCATCGCGCCGCAGTAGCACGGGATCAGCTCAGGGTCAACAAACCGAAGTGAGTGCGTGGGCGCTATTGGGTAGACCCGGACACACAACTACTGGTATCCATGAAGGAAGACCTGATCAGCTGAGCAAAATGGCATTACTGAAAGGACGTACGCGCGCGTTTCAGTGAAGACTGGAGATTTCTGGGAGCCAGCAAAATTGCGTGTGATTAGCAATGGTTGGGCGTGCAGCTTCATAGCTTATGCCTATGCACACTCGACTTTACCCGCGTCCACACGACCCCTCCTGAATGTCAATCGGGCTGCCGCCTCTCCCGCCGCCTCTCACCGTCTACCGCCGGGAGCACGCCTGAACCGGGCGGCCGCCTCTCCTGCCGCCTCTCACCGTCTACCGCCGGGAGCACGCCTGCATCGGGCGGCCGCCTCTCCCGCCGCCTCTCACCGTCTGTCGCCGGGAGCACGCCTGTATCGGGCGGCCGCCTCTCCTGCCGCCTCTCACCGTCTACCGCCGGGAGCACGCCTGAACTGGGCGGCCGCCTCTCCCGCCGCCTCTCACCGTCTGCCGCCGGGAGCACGCCTGAACCGGGCGGCCGCCTCTCCTGCCGCCTCTCACCGTCTGTCGCCGGGAGCACGCCTGAACCGGGCGGCCGCCTCTCCTGCCGCCTCTCACCGTCTGTCGCCGAGAGCACGCCTGCATCGGGCGGCCGCCTCTCCCGCCGCCTCTCACCGTCTGTCGCCGGGAGCACGCCTGTATCGGGCGGCCGCCTCTCCTGCCGCCTCTCACCGTCTACCGCCGGGAGCACGCCTGAACCGGGCGGCCGCCTCTCCTGCCGCCTCTCACCGTCTGCCGCCGGGAGCACGCCTGAACCGGGCGGCCCCGCCTCTCCCGCCGCCCGCCTCTCACCGTCTGCCGCCGGGAGCACGCCTGAACCGGGACGGCGGCGGCATGCCGTCATGCGCCGGCTGCTTGAAGAACGCCGTCATGAAAGGCTGGCGTGCCTCCTCGCCGAACGCGTCCACGATACCCGCCTGGGCCGGTACCACGGTCGAGCCGTCCTCCAGCATGACCTGCCGGAGCGGGGACGGGGCGGGGTGGGGTTTGGCGTTACCGTCGGTCCGGGGCGGCAGCGCTGGACTCGTCCAGCTGATCCCCAGCTCAGCAGCGGGTGGGGGGATACCGGAGTCTAGGTCTGAAAAAGCCTTGAGACCAGATAATCTCAGATTTGGAAAACATTTCACGACCTTTCCAAAAACGGTCCATTTGGATCGCGGGTTCAAGGTAACTAATGCAAGGGAATCCCATGCGATCGGCAATGGGAATGCCTTGCAATGGGATAAGCCGGCCATATTAGCAGACAGAATCCACATTTTATATTTAAGATCTAACTCAATCTTTTTGAATGGATGGATTTCTGGAATCATACCTCACACTGTGCAGTCTTTGCTGTGAGCTCTGACCCCTACCGTCCGTGCCGTGCAAGCCAGGTCATAGGCAGGATTTCGTGGCGAAGTTTTGCCGTGCCGCAATTTTCGGCACGGTCCGTCCTTCCCTCTGACTTCATCTGACCCTCATTACGGCCACTATCACTAGGGCCATATCTGTCAAGGGCAATTAGCGAGCGTCTAAAGCGACTCCAACCCACCCCGCTTCGGGTGGGTGGATCGAAATGCACGTGCCCTAACCTGCTGGGATATCGGGACGGACAAAGATCTGCGCTACGGTGGAGGGGAAAGCTATTCCTAGATCCAGAACAAGACCCATCTTCAAATTTCTTTACGAAGAATCCTTCCAGCTCCATTTTGAGTAACTTTTCACACTTTGACCCGACCGAACCTTCAGCTGAGCGGTGCCAAAGCTTCCTGGCACCATGGGAGATTCGGCATCAAAGATCCTTAATACCCAGCTGCTACCTGGCGTTCACAAGCTAGTTTCGCATGGACAGGTTCACACACGCTACCTAAATGTGATAGATTGATGTGTAATTTGCGCACCCGTGGTTGGCTACCCTGAAGCAGGCAAGCGTTTCCCAATGAAAAAAAATGATCACTTGACATGCCCCATGACCTCAATCTTATTCATAATCTATATTCTATGTAATGTCATTCAGAAGAGTTGTTGACCCACTTGTGATACGACATCTTTTCGAAAACATTGCCAACGGATCTTTGATAGATTTTCCTGGAGGATCTCCTCGGATTCATAATTTTTGACAAGTTCTTTATATTCCAATCTACATTTTCAAACTAGGTAGAAATATTTCCTTGGATCCTTTGATCCACCCAGGGGCCCTCGCAAGCGTCCACGGATCAGCCAGTCACATAGCGTGTTCTGGGCCCGAGACAAGCGCGGTATCCTCCCAGCCGTCTAATAATGACGCTACAGGAGAAGGTCGAGCCAATTCGGATGATCGGCGCGAGCGCGGGCCTTCCCGACTGATATGAAGGGCGCCAGAGCAGCGGCGCCGTTACCGTCCGGCGTCCGAGCCAATCAGACAGGCGGTCTCCGCATCCGCTGGTTGTCGGGATGAGGCCAGACGCTAGTCACGTGGCGCGACCACGTGCCTCCGCCGACGACGTCCCACATTCCGGCGTGGTCGGGAAGCGCCGCGGACGAATCGAGGTCAAAGGTCACAGGTTACGCTCGAAATCCTGGCGCCGGGTTCGATTCCCGTCGCGGGAAACTTCCGCGCGCCGCAATGTCCTGGCGGAGCGACGGCTGTAATAACGTTACCACCCTCATACGTCGACAATGGACTGCCACGCTTGATGGGATGCACCGCGCTCCACTGACCTCGATGTAGAGGCCGAGGTTGAAGTCAGGGAACACTCTCCACAGGTCGGCCGCCCGGGTCACGTTGAAGGTCAGCCAGCCCACATAGCCCGGCTCCAGCGGCCGCCGGTCCACCTCCTTGAGATGGATCGTATGGTTCTCACCTGACGGAGAGGACGCAGCGTTGCCAGTTGGCTCCCAAACCGGCCGCAGATCGGAGACCAGACAGTGGTCTCAGGCCCGAGAGCAGACAGTCGCCTCGTCCGAATTCCACATCCTTTTTTGTGGACAGGCGCATCATCCACAGCATGGGCGCGCAAATCAGCCCTGCTCCGGTCAGGAATGTATGACATATATCCTTTTTATTCTTATGGGGCTGTCATTGATATCTCTCGGTCATAAGGCCATCTACGCAACGTTTTCTCCATCTCCAGATGAAACCCTAGTGCGTCGTGTGAAGCAAATAGGAAGAAGACCGGTCGTCAATTTGGAAAATACAGGCTGGCAAAACACTCCTGTAATAAAGCCAGCGTGAGATCATCGACTTTTGCCTAATATGCTTCCAAAATGCATCTGCAACTAAATATTCCTGATAACACCGTAGTGTAGGTGTAGTTGTGTGTGTGTGTGTGTGTGTGTGTGTGTGTGGTGTGTGTGTGTGTGTGTGTGTGTGTGTGTGTGTGTGTGTGTGTGTGTGTGTGTGTGTGTGTGTGGTGTGTGTGTGTGTGTGTGTGTGTGTGTGTGGTGTGTGTGTGTGTGTGGTGTGTGTGTGTGGTGTGTGTGTGTGTGTGTGTGTGTGTGTGTGTGTGTGTGTGTGTGTGTGGTGCGCGCGCGCGCGTGCGTGCGTGCGTGCGTGCGTGCGTGCGTGCGTGCGTGCGTGCGTGCGTGCGTGCGTGCGTGCGTGTGTATTCTGCCATGATACGATTCAGTTCCATTTAACCCTACTTTTACCTGGAAACCCCGTTCTTTTCAAGTCCTATCGTAAAACTAAGCACGTGCGCGTGTTGTACTTGTGGGAAAGCCCCCCCTAAGAGACTTCTTTAACGCATTTTGCGTATTGGCCTTTGGTTTTTACACTGAGTTTCCCCTTGAAGAGTTATGTTCGTAGCATATGAATCTGCTCTCTCTCTCTCTCTCTCT